ATAGTGGCCATAACGGGTATTGAAAGCTGTTTTCCATTCGTCTCCCTGCTGAATTCTCACCAAGTTATAAGCTCCCCTCAAATCTAACTTGGTAAAAATCTTGGAGCCTTTCAGTCGATCAAAGAGCTCAGTAATTAAAGGAATAGGATAAGCATTTCTAACCGTTATCTTATTCAAGCCCCGATAATCAATGCAAGGGCGTAGAGTGCCGTCTTTTTTATCTACAAAAAAGAAACCGGCCCCGGCCGGAGAAGATGATCTCCTAATAAAACCTTTGTCTAGGTTTTCACGTATGTACTCCTCTAGGACTAAGTTCTCCTTAGTGGATAAAGGATATACCGTACCCCTCGGGGGCATAGTACCAGGTAGGAGTCTAATTTTACAGTCGAAAGACCTATGTGGAGGTAAAGTATCAGCCCTCTTTTTGTCAAAGACTGCCTTTAAATCCTGGTACTGTGATGGTATCTGTAAATCTGTAGGTTGGGAAGAGTTAACCGGGGCGTCAACCCTGCAAATTGGTGAGACTTTCTGCACACATCCTTTCTGGCAACCCTGACCCCAGGAGACTATCTCACCCAGTTCCCAGTCAATGATAGGGTTATGCTTCTTAAGCCAGGGATACCCCAAGACTATAGGAACTGAAGGAGATGAGATCAGCATGAGGGATATTCTTTCCTCGTGAAGGATACCAGTGGTTAACTTAATTGGTATGGTTTCACGAAAAATCACAGGTTCAGATAATGGTCTACCATCTATGGCCTCAACGGCCAAGGGTGTATCCCTTAGCTGAGATGGGATAGAATGGTTAGTGACAAAGGCTTGGTCAATAAAGCTTTCAGCAGCTCCGGAATCTATCAAAGCCATAGCATTAAATACTCCCTTTTCCCAAGCTAAAGAAACAGGTATCAGAAGCCTATGATCTTTATAATCATAAATAGAGGACAAGATAGAAACACCCAAGGCCTGTCCTCTTGAGAAACTTAGGTGCGAGCGTTTCCCGGCCGGTTAGGGCAATTTAGGCGTAGGTGACCTCTAATTCCGCAATACATACAAAGACCCTCCCTTCTCCTGTACTGTCTTTCCTCCTCTGAGAGTCGAGTATGACCTATTTGCATAGGTTCTGGGAGAGCTAAAGTAGTAGAATCAGAAGTCTGAAATGAGGGAGCTAGTCTTATGGAGGATCTGCGGGTTCTATCCCTAATATTCTGCCTCTGTCTCATACGTTCATCTATTCGGGAAATAAATGAAATCAGATCCTCCAAATTTTCAGGAAGATCTCTTGTGGCCACCTCATCTAAAATCTCATCAGATAACCCGTTCATAAATACGTCCATATAAGCCTGTTCATTCCACTTGACCTCTGCTGCCAAGGATCTGAACTCCAAGGCATAATCCACTAGGGTTCGGTTATACTGTCTAAGACGTAACAGTAGTCTAGCTGCATTGGCCTTTCTTCCTGGAGGGTCAAAAGCTCTCCTAAACGCAGCGACAAAAGCATTATAATTATAAACTAACGGGTTATCATTTTCCCACAGGGGGTTAGCCCATCTAAGTGCCTTGTCAATGAGCAAGGTAATTATAAATCCAACCTTTGCCCTGTCAGTAGGGTAGGCGTGGGGTTGTAATTCAAAATGAATACCTATCTGGTTTAGAAAACCTCGACAAGTGTCAGGAGCGCCGCCATAGCGTGACGGGGACGTAACACGGGAAGAAGTAGCCACTGTGGCTACCTCTAGGCCTGTACTTATAGGAGAGATAGATGGGGTACGCATCTCCTCTGAGTGACTACTAGGACGAGATAGCAATGCTTGCAGAGCTAGAGCCATCTGGTCCATTCTATGATCCATGGCCTCAAATCTAGAGTCAGGAGAACCGACCTGAGAGTTTGTACCTGCAGGATCCATTGGCCCTGTCGTAATGTCAGGATCGTGACAGGGATCCAACACGCAGAATACAAACAGGGGATAGGTACGTATACCGGACCTTAGAATGGCCGGACTAACGTAAGGAGAAAGCAAAAGAATAGTCAGAGACAAGCCGAGGTCGAGGGAACGAGAGATCAGGTAAGCGAGAGACAAGCCGAGTCAAAAGGACAAGAGAGGAAAGCAGGGTCAAAATACAAGCCGAGTCAGGAACCAAAAGACAATAGAGGTAATTGCACTGAGTGACCAGACTAGCTAGAACCACGACAGGGCAATGAATCATTCCACAGAACCCTTTTTTATACCTTGGCTCTTTAACTGTTGGCTCCGCCCCCAACGGGTCCTGATTGGTTGTTCGGCACTTGGTTGCCGTGATTGACGGGTCGGATCGTGATTGCCGTCATGACGTCGGCTACTGAGCGCCGCGTCATAAAAGGAGGCGGAGCTATCGCGGCCGGCGTGTAAACGACCGGGAGGAGTGCAAGGATCGGGTGAGTCAGCCCCCCTGGGAGGATGGACGTCTAGGTGTCTACCCTCCTCCGAGGTAGACACCAAAGGTACCCTGACAGTGGACTAAGGCAGGAATCACTTACATCCAGCACCTAGTAGACAATAAAGGCGTAATAGCATTCGCGGATATACAGGCCAAATGGCACCTACCGATGAGGGAGGTATTTACCTACCTAAGACTCAAAGGGACCATACTGACTCATGTGAACCTACACAACAACACTCGGGAGCAATCACTAGTGGCGGGCGGGATTTTAGACAGATGCTGGGCCGCACCAAATAAACCAAAAGCCATCTCCCTCTGTTACAAAATGTGGGAGACCACATTACCACAACACACCCCCCTCTGTAAGACTAAATGGGAGGAGGACTGCTCCCTTCAACTCTCAGAGGACGACTGGGTCAGAGCAATAAATAGCCTCACAAAACTCACTAGATGTTACACACACATAGAAGCGCATAGGAAGCTACTGTATAGGTGGTACATGACGCCAAGTCGGTTACATAAAATATACCCCAGTGTCACACCGACATGCTGGAGGTGTTCAAGGGACACCGGTACATTCCTCCACATATGGTGGACATGTCCAGTGATACAACCCCTCTGGACAGAGGTTAGGAGATTGCTGTATAAATTGGGCGTGACAAACCTATTGCCAAGCCCGCAAACATACCTCATGCTTCTGCTCCCCAGTGACCTAGCTAGAGAACACAGACAGGTGTGCGCCATCACGATACTGGCGGCCAGGAACCTTCTAGCGAAGAACTGGAAGTCGCACCTATGTCCATCTAAAACACAACTATGGGACAAGATTCAACAATACCATGTCTATGAACGAATGACGATGACCCATAGTATAGAATCACAACAGTTCCATTCAACATGGAAACAGTGGACATGTTTATACGACCAAGCCACAAATCACCAAAATCCACCTTGAGACCGTTAAATATGGCCTGACAGACTGTACCAGCACGCAACACCGTGCTCACAGAACCAACCTTTATCCTCCCGCACCAGACTGCTTTGCCCACAAACACCCAACAAGGGTAAACAATACGTGAGTGTAAAACTATACTAAGCAACCTTAAGTATGTGTATATCAGGTATATTGTTATTGCGGACACAGCCGCCTGCGAAACCCTAAATGTCACTGTCGAAAAACTTGATAACAAACCTTGTAACAGTCCACATTGTCTGCTTTCCCCCATTGTTATCCTTATAACTCCCTTCTCTTTTCTGTACCCCATATACTTGAAAATCAATAAAAAATTTGCATTTAAAATGATGTTGAGTATGTCAAACTCTTGGTTAGAGTGTTGTGGTGTAAACCTATGACAGATGATGTGTGAATGTGTTTGAAACAGATCTACTAGAAAAATTTTTTTAGTAACTTACCTTAGGGCGGGTATAAATGATAATGAAAAACAAAGAAGGGAGGGAAAATATTTGCCTCCTGTCGTTAATAAAATGTAGATTATTCAGTCACTAGGGCTAGAATAATCCCTAATTTTATGGCAAGACAGGAGGCATATTTGCTGTTTTAACGCTCTTATATGATAGAAGATGCAGCATGTGGCATAGGTTTGAAATAGAATGTATGAAAGGTAGACTCCCTGGACCAATCCGCAGACGACAAAATGTCTGAGAGGGAACTACCCGCACGAAAGACTGAGGATGCGGTTGCTCCTCTGACTGAATGCGTTCCAAAAGAGGAGTCAATACCTGCTTGGGCTAGTATCCATCTGATCCACCGCGCGACGGTGGGAGCGGACACCGGTTTGTGTGGTCTGACATAGGAAACGAGAAGGGGTCCTGTAGGGGAACGCAGAGTGGTTGTGGCATCTATATAGTGCCTTACACAGAGCGCCACGCAAAGCGACTGTCTATTCGGAAAGTAAGGGTAGAATACAGAGGAGGAATTAGTCTTTGTTCGCCTGGTGATGTGAAATTCAACGCCCTGAGGCGAAAAAACTACAGCGTGGAAATCAAATGCTCGAATGTCGGAGACCCTACGGAAGGATACCAGACATAGGAGTAAGGCCAGTTTGGCAGAGAGTTGACGTAACGTCAAGTTCTCATTAGAGGGCCAGGAGTCTAAAAGGGAAAAAACCTGAGTGACGTCCCAGAAATTGGAATATCTTGGAAGAGGGGCTCTGGCTAGCCTGACCCCTCGTAAAAGTCTACAAACTGAAGGGTGTTTTCCTATTGATGCATTGTCAATAGGGTTGTGGGCCGCAGAAATAGCAGATCTAAAAACATTAATTGATCTATAGGACTTGCCTTGATCAAAGAGAGTAGACAGAAAATTTAGGATGATCGTCAGAGGTGCTGAAAAGGGATCGGTATCCCTTTCCAAACACCATCTGACCTATGTCCGGCATGCAGCGAGGTAAGCCCGTCTAGTGCCTGGGGCCCAGAAGTCCCATAGGAGGGTCTGAGCTGTCTCCGAAAGTCCAGAGACATTCCAGGATCCCCTGAAATGGTACAAGCTACAAGCTAGAGCTGCCCTTGAAGGGCGAGTGGGTGACAGTGCTCTGCTGGATTCTTGAGGATGTCGGGGGATCGAGGTAGTAGCAGGGTTGGAAATTGATAGAACAAGCTGGATCCAATTGCCAGTCGCTTACGTCCTTCCAATGACGAGAGAACCAATCTGCAACTAGGTTGTCCATGCCCGGAAGATATTCCGCTCTAGGCAGAATTGGTAGAGTTCCTTGGTAAGGTCGGACAGTAATTTGGATCGGGAACCTCCTAACCGATTCACATAACGCGCTGCAGAGACATTGTCCATGCGCAGTACTAGTGAACAATTGAAACAATCTTTTGCGAAACTGCGAATCGCAAAAGATCCTGCAATCAATTCTAGGCAATTGATGTGCAGTGCTTGTTCGGAGGGGGACCATAGTCCCCCGGTGGACCTTTCGGCGCACGTAGCGCCCCACCCCAAGAGACTGGCATCGGATTCCAGACTGAAGTCTGGTTGTGATCCGAAAATGGCTTTGCCATTCCAGGTTTCCATGTTGTGAAGCCACCAATGAAATTCTATACGGACTTCGTCTGTTAGGCAGATCAGTTGGTCGTAGAAGGTGGACCGGTTTAGATAGTAAGTCTTGAGCCGTTGCATGGCTCTGTAATGTAGGGGTCCCGGATAAATGGCTCGGATAGAGGCAGACAGTAGGCCTATGGTATGAGTCAGATCGCATAGGCGAATCTGGTGGGCTGATAGCAATTTGCGAATGTCTTTCTTTATAACCTTGACCTTTGTAGAAGGTAGTTGTAAAATCGTCTGTATGGAGTCTTTTAGGAATCCGAGAAACTGAACTTTCTGAGAAGGTTCCAGGTCCGATTTTTGAAAGTTGATTACAAAACCTAGGTTTTGTAATAAGGCCGTCGTCATGTCCGTGTGCTGACGAAAAAGGTCTGGATCTTGAGCCATTATCAGGATGTCATCCAAATATACAATGGAACGAATCCCCTGTGATCAGAGTAGCGCCATCACTGGTTTCATCAGCTTTGTGAAACACCATGGTGTGGAACAAAGACCAAACGGGAGGCATGTGAACTGCCAAATTTCCTCTTGCCAGAGGAATTGAAGAAAAGCCCGATGGTTGCGGGCGACAGGGACAGTGAGATATGCGTCCTTAAGATCGAATCTGGATAACCAGTCTCCCACGCAAAGGAGGTCCCTGAGGAGATGGATGCCCTCCATTTTGAAATGACGATATCTGACACAGTGATTCAGGTCTTTCAAATTGATTATTGGACGCAGGTCTCCGGATTTTTTGTGGACCAGAAAAATATTGCTTAGAAAGGTATGTGGGAAGGGTGATCTTTCTATCGCCCCTTTTTCCACCAGTTTGTTCAATTCTGTGTGTAATGCCAGGTTGTCTGTTGCAGACATACGAAATGGTGTAGGTGGTGTGTCCTGGAAGGAAGTGGAAAGAAAATCTATTTTGAACCTCTTGACTGTGTGTAGGATCCATAGATCCTGTGAAAGCAGTTCCCACTGTTGGAAAAAATGGGTTAGTCGAGCTGCTATGGGTACATTGAAAAAAGGAAGGTTTATTACCTGGAGCAGTGCGTCCGTATAAGGAGGCAGATCCACGTCCCCGGATCGATCCTCTATTGGTGAATAACTGCCTGTGGTAGGGTCGACGGGGTCCCGAGTTCCAGTAGTTTTCTGAGGGACGAGGCCTGTAGCCTGTGAAGGCAGCTCTGCTGTTCATTCGGCCTCTATAACGTCCAGCTCTCCCAGAAAGACAACCTGACTGGGAGCGAAATACCCTGCATAGGAAGGATTGGGCTTTGTTTAAGGTAGTAAATACCGCTGCACGTTTGGACAGATCTCTCATGAAAGAGTCCCCAAATAACAAGCCATTGGCTTCTGGTCCCAGTTCTCGGGAGCTTAAGTCTGCTAATTTAGCATTGAGTTTATATAGTGCCGCCGTACGTCTCTCAGTGGATATAGCCACATTTGATTTGCCCAGGAAACATAGGGCTCTTTGGGCCCATTCTTGGACTGTGTGAGGGTCAAACTCCCCACTAGCTATAGCTTCGTCAGCTAGTATGAAAATCTGGATGATGGGACCAGCGATATCAGGAGCTTGTCCTGGGCTGTCTTAAGACCCTGCTCAATACCCTTGCCACTTTACTTGGTATAGTTGGCCGAGGGCATTCGGCTCTGAGTTTAGCCCTTATTTCTTTTTCAAGGGGCTTACGCAGCCACATCTTGCAAAAATTAGAGATGTAGTCAGGTGGGGCCCATTCGGCCGAACGTGGATGTCTAATGACCCTAGGGTAGAAAAAAGGGACACCCGAGGCATCCAGAAGGGTGTCTGAGTCAGGTCCCTTGGGTATAGAGATGTTTGCATCTGTGTCCTTTTTGGTAATGAATGTCTCCTTGACAAATTCCGATGGGGTATCCCCTAGCGCATTCGCCGAGGGGTCCTCATCAGAATAGCCAAGGTAGTAATCCTCAACCCCATCGCTCATTTGAGAAGTGGAACCCTCCAAGGGGTTGAATATAGTTTGGGCGGGGCGAGTGACAGTTAATTTTTGGGACTTGGCAGGAGCCTTGCCCGCAGACACACTATTCCCTTTCCAAGGACGTGTGACCTCCTGATCCGAGGGCTGAGAGTCCTCTGAGTCAGAGAGTAAATGTGCGATGGGATTGACTTCGCCAGGAGTCTTTTCATGGAAGGCTGCTAACGCCTTGTGGATGGATTCAGTAATAATTGAAACCAGCCAAGCTTTAAGTTCCTGAGAGATTGCGGGCTCAGTATTGTCAGACATTTTAGTTAGGACTGTATTAGTGATTCTGACAAATAGTCGTAAGACAAGAATGTTAAATGGGGTTCACCCAATTGTGTTTAGTAAAATTTCTAAGTAGGGGGTCACCCGAATAAGCGTAGTTTGATATATAAGGGCGGCACACGATATATAGTGGGGTAGACCACTAAATTATACAAGTGGATTGTACCACTGTAAGAATAAGAACTGGGGTTCACCACTCAGTAGTCAGACTTTTATGAGTATGTCTGTAAAATATTTAATAAAGTGTGGGGTCACTTTAAATAATATATTGTATTATTTGCAAAGGTGAGGGTCACTCACTTGTAGTAATGGTGTTGAGACACCTGTCATAAATTGATTAGAAAGTGAATAAAAGGTGGGGGTCACCCACAACAACATTCAATGAATCAAGTGACAAAGAAAAAGGTGGGGGTCACCCACAAGGCTGTCCTTTATTTAATAATGATAAGATACAGCAGGTATTTTCCTGTCAAGAAAAACAAATAGGTACAAAGAGTAATTTGGAAAAAGGTGGTAGCACTTTAAGGGTGCTATGAGCAACAAGTAAATAAGATACTTACCGGATCCCACGTGAGGTGAAGCGATCGCGCATAAATAACAAGGTAAACCGCGGTTTAAGATGGCCGCCGCCAGGAAAAGGGTGGGAGGAAGCGTGTCAGATAATTGCAGACGCGAGAAGTCGGGATCTGAGAAAGGGCGCCAAATTGAGTCGCGGACTCCTGGGAATTGGGAATCATAATCGAGAGGAAACCGCGGCCACAAATGTAATAAAATAGCGGCAAACCGCGACGATTTTTAAAGGGGAACAATGGAGATAAAGTTTAAAAACTGTTCAGAGACATAAATAAACCAACATGTTAGGTATAATTATATGTAGTAAGGGTATTGTGTACTGACAATAAATTGTGTGAGAAACTAGTGAAAATGAATGTTTGATAAACAAAACATTACCACAGAAAATTATTTAAAAATGATAATAGAGATATGGGTGCTATAAAATTTAACAAATTAATGAGAAAATTAGTTCAAATATTGCATTAAAGGCAAAAACCCTAAGGCAATATAACTGGAGCAGACTCACCTGGGAGGCAAGCAGCAAAGAAAGAGGAAGTGGGAGGAGTTTGATGACATCATATAATACTGTTATACACTCTGATTGGTTGAATTGTTTTTACACTATTGTTAACTATTTCTTTGCTACTGGGAGGTTCAGTAAAGAAAGATAAGCAAATATGAAGCCTCCTGTCTTGCCATAAAATTACGTGGGTTGGCCAGAGTGGGCGGAGCTTTGTTGCAGTGGGCGTGGTAAATTTTCAAGGTAGTAATTGATAGCTGTGCTGCAAAGTGTCCCTGGAAATTTTGTTTTTAAATGTTGGCAACAAAATTTAGGCAGGATGAGGCATTTTAATGAGTATATAAGCTTGAGTAAGAAGTAGTGTATGATATGGATTGATTTGCTTGTTGGTGAATCGATTTGACTGACATAAAACTCCATTCAATTCATGAAACCAATTGATCGGGTTCCAAACGACTCAAAAAGGATTCTATATCGGATTAATCTATTCGTCCTCAAATTAATCAATACATTTGAGGAAGAATGCAACAAATGCACGTCTAGTAAAAAGTGAGGAGATGGACCACACCCTTTATATGTCTGTGTATATTTGCTAGCACTTGTTTTAGCATCATATATAGATGAAATGTTCACTTGTTTTATTTAAAATGAACTTGTCATAACAAGTCCCAAAGCTGTAAATATACAATATTTTCATAAAGAATATAGTTTTTCTTTTTCCACGCGCTCCTGTGTTACCTTTATTGTTTGTTTGTAGGTGTTACACTACTATAATACCCACGAAGGTAGGCTAATGGCTGCACTGGATCCGTTATAAGGAGGTGAGAATGCCTAAAAACTCAATGAAGCTCCACAGAAGGAAAAAATAATAATAATTATACAACAAAAGCACATGTTTAAATTTCAGAAACAGGTTGGTAGTAATTTTAAATGAAATTTAAAGTGCTATGACCAAATTGTGTGTAGCATGACGTGTAAACTTTAAGTTTTGTGTACAATGACAGCGAAGTGCAGTTTAGGCCACCATGGTCAGCAACATATCCCTTCTAACTCAGCTTATATATTAATGCATTGCACAAACCACCTTTACTAACCTTGGGAACATCCTCCTTTTCTAACATTTCAAAAGACCATGTCACATGCAGCCAAATTAAAGATATACTGTTTATCTGTAGGTATATTAAATAATAACATTTTTTTTTTTTTTTTTACACAGTGAGCTGATTATACACAAATAATGCAAAAACATAACATTATGATAACCAGGGCACGCAGAGTCTGCAGAGACCAATGGGCTTATGAACGGTCTAAAAAAACAAACCAAAAAGGTTAAATGTTGTAAGTTCCCAAATATATCACCTCTCACACAATTGTGAATGGTACCCACCCCGCGGTCTATATTAAAGGACCACTATAGTGCCAGGAAAACAAACTCGTTTTCCTGGCACTATAGTGCCCTGAGGGTGCCCGCACTCTCAGGGTCCCACTCCCGCTGCGCTGAAGGGGGAAGAAGGGGGTTAATCCCTTACCTCTTTTCCAGCGCCGGGCTCCCTCGGCGCTGGGATTCTCCTCCCTCTTCTTCCGTCATCGGCTGAATGCGCATGTGCGGCAAGAGCCGCGCGTGCATTCAGCCAGTCTCATAGGAAAGCATTCTCAATGCTTTCCTATGGACGCTGGCGTCTTCTCACTGTGAAAATCACAGTGAGATGCGCGGCAGCGCCTCTAGTGGCTGTCGATGACACAGCCACTAGAGGCTGGATTAACCCTAAAGTAAACATAGCAGTTTCTCTGAAACTGCTATGTTTATAGAAAAAAGGGTTAAACCTAGCTGGACCTGGCACCCAGATCACTTCATTAAGCTGAAGTGGTCTGGGTGCCTATAGTGGTCCTTTAAATGAACCCGCAGCACACTATCCGGGTAAGTCACCGCCACACAGCCCGTGTCCCATACATGTGTGTATCCCCAGGCTCAGAGTTCCTGGCAGTGAGGAGGAGGAGGTGGGAGGAGGGAGGTTGTCAGAGCGGTACACCACGTGGGCTCTCAGTGCAGACAGGGAATCCTTGCTGCGTGTGATGACGTCAGCCGCTTCACGTGCCCCGCCGCAGTCCCCGCCCTCCTCCCGGCCTCACTGACAGTATGTGTCTGAGGTGACAAAGATGGCGGCTGCACAGGGTCGGCGGAGCGGGCAGAATTGGCGGCTCTGAGTGACGCGGAAGGCAGGCGATCGTTACACAGCTACCGAGGGAGCCCGATAGCGCAGTGTGTGAGGAGCTCGGTGCCGGCCGGTGAGGGGCGAGGCGGCCCCCGGGGCGGAGGGCACGGTGACAGCCCGCGGTGTCCTTGAAGAAGGCGGCTAGAGGAGGAAGCGGAGACACGGAGGACGAGCCGGAGGGGAAGCGGAGGCCTCGCGGCTCACGGTCCAGGGCCATGTTCTCGGTGCTGTCCTACGGCCGGATAGTGGCCCGCGCGGTGCTGGGGGGGCTCTCACAGACCGACTCCCGGGACTACAGCCTGGTCACCGCCAGCTGCGGCTTCGGCAAGGATGCGAGGAAGGGCATCCTCAAGAAAGGCATGTGCTACGGGGACGACGCCTGCTTCATCGCCCGGCACCGCACGGCGGACGTACTCGGTGAGTGACCGCAACTACTCCCATCATCCCCAGCCAGCCTGCTAGACCGGCTCCGGGGGGGACTGGACCCAGCCAAGCCTGGCACCACCAGGGAGAGAGAGAGAGAGCTGGTACCGGGCTCAGCATAGAGAGGGCAAGGAGACACTCACTGTGGGGGTTATTCACTAAGCTGCGAATTAGGAGACCAGGAAAGTGCACACTTTATCCCCATAATGGAGATTCAGGGAAACTTTGCTAATGGTGTTCTTTTCATTTGCCAGCTGTTATGGGTTACACTGTGCATTTTCTTCCTCTTAATCTTAGGCAACAATAGGTGACTTGGAAATCCCCTCTACTGTGGGGCAAACTGGCTATTAACAATTCACTGTTTAGTGAATAAACTGAGCCTTTGGCACTTGGTGTCGCAGGTGCAGACCCCCTGGGTGTAGTGCGGGTAGAATAATATTTTGGTGCTCGATCTTGTTGTGCCTCTCTGCTGGCTGACCAGTCTGTAAAACACAATCCACATCAGCTGCCATGCAAAAGGCTATCCATCAGTTGTTTAGGGACTTACAACCTGTTGAGCAGCCATTTTTGCGCTTTAGCCAAATGGTCCTGCAGATATAAGCTGAACCCTGTAGGTATCTAGGCAGTATTACATTGCCTTTTGTGATCTAAATTATTAAAGGCTGTGATATACAGAGTTGCTAGATGCCATTGGGTCATCTACCCATTCCCGGCCCTCTCTTAAAAGGACAAATCCATTTATTTTCATATTTACGTTCTATTTTAAGTTATGCAAACCATAAAAAAATACATTGGTCTATAGATTACTAAAAGTACCTAGAGAAACATTTTTACTTTTTTATGTATTATTACATAATTAACAGAAAATGTGGCTTAAAAATTACCAATTTTTTTTCAAATGCAATGTATAAATGATGCATTAAAAATTGGAACAAAATCTTAACTTTATGGAGTTCCCTTGTTAAGCACTGTTTAGTCGACCTGCATACAGCTACAGGAAGACTAAATTTGGAGAGCCTCTTACCCAATACATTTCTGCTGACATTAATGTATTTGATAGTGTATCCTCAACTAGAATGAGTGGAACAGCTCTGTAAACTGATGGCAGTCATGGTATGGCTGTTGTCTGTTTACACATACCACACTTAAGTGTTTAGTGAAATGGGCTATGTTCTGTTACGGGCAGAGCTGCATCTACTATTTGGCTCTTTGTTCTCGGAGGACCGAGAGCTCAGCCAAAATTGTGTGTGCACAGATCCACAAACAAAACTTGAACAAAATTGACAATGGGCAGACAGAACTGACATAGTTAATCATTACATTCAGAATTCAAAGTGATTCTCGAATTTAAGGCCAAAGTAGCTGGACTAGAATCATAGATGTGGTATTTTTCCAGTCCAATTATTGTTACCTTAACCCCTTAAGGACCAAACTTCTGGAATAAAAGGGAATCGACATGTCACACATGTCATGTGTCCTTAAGGGGTTAAAGGGACACTACAGTCACCAAAACAACTTTAGCTTAATGTAGCTGTTTTGGTGTATAGATCATACATCTGCAGCCTCACTGCTAAATTATCTGCCATTTAGGAGTTAAACCACTTTTGTTTCTGTTTATTCAGCCCTACTCACACCTACCCTGGCTGTGACTGACACAGCCTGCATGAGAACCAGATGGTTTCACTTTCAATCAGATGTAACTTACTTTAAAATAATGTATCTCCTGCTCTGTAAATTAAACTTTAATCATAAACAGAAGGCTCCTGCTGGGTCTAGCAAGCCATTAAGAGAGCAGGAAATAAGAAATTAAAAATTAAATAGAATATTTAATCAAGGAAGTTTAAACATAAGATGACTCTATGGGAAGTGTTTATGAAGGCTGTGTAAGTCACATGCAGGGAGGTGTGACTAGGGCTGCTAAACATAGTGATTTAACTCCTTAATGGCAGAGAATTGAGCAGTGAGACTGCAGGGGCTTGATCTATACACCAAAACTTCTTTATTAAGCGTAAGTTGTTCTGGTGACTATAGTGTTCCTTTAAATTCAATTTGACTTCTCACTTTAGTGAATAATTCTGTCTGCGTTCTGCATGCCAGATTGACTGCATCAATTCTGTACAACTGCAATTCTTTGACGTTATAACATTATCAGAGAGTAGGCTCAGTGTACACCATGCACCATTACCTTTGCATTAATGCTAAGTAGTGATGAATTGTCTAGTTAAATATTGTCCTCAGATTTTAAGGCAGTATATAGATAGTGCACTAAGTATATGTATATATGTGTGTGTGTGTGTGTGTGTGTGTGTGTGTGTGTGTGTGTATATATATATATATATATATATATATATATATATATATATATATATATATATATATATATATATATATATATATACACATATACTTAGTGCACTATGTGTGTATATATATATAACTAAAAAAGTTACATACTTTGAAAGTGCCCCTCAGTGTACATCTTAGTGACTTTGCTTGCAGTTGCAAACAGACCTTTCCCATTACTAGTATGAGACGTTCCAATTGGAATCATTATATTATGGTCTGTGTGGGGAATGACTTTTGTCCAGTCAGCCTGTCTACAGTTGGTAATTATGGGCTATTTATCCTCTATCTACTAATCGCATAACATGATTGAAACTGCATAATAAATTGCAGACGCTTACGGTTTATGTGCAGCCTGGTTCATTGTTTAGTGAACTTAGCTGTGCTTTGTGTTCTTTAGTGCTAGGCATGCGCAGTGCATTTTACAAAACGGGGGGGCGGGGGGGGAAGGTCAGCTGCTTTGCCCTTAAATTTTAAATTTACTTTTAAATCTTGGCAATTCTCACATTAGTGATTCTTTATTTTTAACACTGTAAATAGCACAAAAAGGAGCACACTCTAAAATATAAGTAATCTTTATTGAATTCGTACCATGACTTACAGTATACACAGTACAGAAATATACCCTATCACAAAATGCAACTAACAAAAATGAAGAACAAAAAATAGAAACAAAATTAAAAACCAAGCCCCAGACACCAAAGTACGAAACAAAATGATATAAACTAGATTACATACCAGAAAAAAAAGTGAGGATACCAAAATCATACCCCAGTGTTTCAGCTGGAAGCCTTTTTCAAGAGAGGATCTTTTAGTTCATTGCAGGGTAATTTTTTTAAACTTCAGTGTTAAATCCACCTCTAATGGCTGTAATCATTATAGCTACTAGAGGCGCTTCCACTAAACTGACAGTGTAAAAATTTGTCTGGTGACGTGGAAGTCCATAGGAAATCATTACCGTGATTTCCAATGGGAAAGCCTCGATGTGCACACGGTCCGTGCACATCACTTTGGCCACTGTCTCGAGAGCCAGATGACATCATGGGAGGCAGAGTGGCTGGAAGCCCGAAGCAGTCTTGGCGCTGGAGTAAAGGTAAGTAAACTTTTTTTTGTTTATTGTTTAACTTGATGGTGGGGATAAAACAAACTTGCCAATAGGGCACTATAGCATTAGTAATACAGGTGTGAATTCCTAGTGCTACAGTGTTTCTTTAATCACAAGTAATACAGTCACATTGAATTTCATTTAGTACACGTTTGGCACCTGTCCTGTCCATGACCAATGCACAAATGTCTCAAATTTAGAACTATTGAGAATGAGCCTTAAAGGAACACTATGACATTAGGAATACAAATCCTAACTTAATAGATTCCCCCCACCATCTGTCAATAAACTTGTGATTTAGATCAGTGATGGTTTTTAAAGTACATAATAAGATAAAAAAAATGTTTGTGTAAAGTAAATTAACTTTTATCATTTTGTTTTCAGTTGTTTATTAAAGGGATTCTCCAGTGCCAGTAAAACAAACCCATTTTCCTGGCACTAGAGAATCCTGGAGTGCCCCCTATCCCACGTTGCTGAAGGGGTTAAAACACCTTCAGACACTTACTTGAATCCAGCGCCGATGTCCCTCTGCGCGGTCAGGCTCCACCCACGCTCCTCCCCAACCGATGTCCGCTGGCCGGGAAGCCCTAATGCGCATGCATGGCAATGGCCACGCGCACATTAGACCTCCTTATAGGAAAGCATTATTCAATACTTTCCTATGGGGATTCCGGTGACGCGGGAGGTCCTCATGCATAGCGCGAAGACGTCCAGTGTTGTTTAGATGACCAAAAGTAGTCTAAGAAGCTGGAAATCCTTCTAGTGACAGCCACTAGAGGAGGACTTAACCCCGCATGTTAATTATTGCAGTTTATAAAAACTACAATTGTTACACTTGCGGGGTGATGGGTGTTGGCACCCAGACTACTTCAATGAGCTGAAATGGTCTGGGTGCCTGCAGTGTCCCTTTAATTCTGGATGTAGTTTATATTTCAGGATAGACTTGTGTTGAGCATAATGCTATATTTGTTGTTGCATCTTGTGGTTGGACCAGAGGGGCTAACTGCCAGTTTTTGGGCTTGTGATTTTTGTTTGTATTTTGTGCACTGTCCTGGCTTTGCAAATATTCCGAACCATAACCTAGCTTCACCTCTCTTGTCATCAAATCAGCCTTTCTATCTGTGTTTTTGTCTTATTTTTTATTTTTTTGTGTGTTGCGTGCTCGCACATGACATTAAATTTGTTTTGCTATTATTTTTATTGGGGAAATGAAGGCTGCTTGTTTTACAAAGTATAGAACTTTTTTTTTCCCACTTTTTAAATGCAATCTTACCGGAAGACTTAAGATACAATTTGTAAATGTTATGTTTTTTTGTATCGGATGAGGGGAGGTGTTGGTACATTGTTTTTTTATTTTTATTTTATTAGTGATTTTCACATTTTAATTGTCCTATTTTCTAAAGTTATTTGTTCACTGCCTTATATTTTTAAGCTCAACAAAAACATTCTCAAAGTCATAATGCAGATATGCTCAAGTTAAGGGGGGAAAATCTGCCATGTAATCTAAAGTCTTTAATAGTTATATATTTATTTTTATCTCAAAAATATA